TGTGCTTATGAATTTACAATATAAGCAGCCAGCGGCAGCATTTAGTGTTTTGCATTACAGCGCAATTTTATGTCCCGTCCCTGATGTAAGTGTGAGTTTCAACTCATATATTTGTATGTAATGTATATATGTATTGCTTTGTTTATGCTTTATGTTGGCATATGCAAATCATTGCGGCAGTCATGCTGTGCCGACACACTTTTCACAGCAGCCTCCTCGCCACATATCCTTCTGATGCAAAAATATTTGCCATGTATGTATGTCGTTTCTGATTGTGAGACGTTTGAAGCGGTAGAAGTGTGTAGGTAGGCGCTGCTTGTAGCTCGTTACGTTGATTGGATTTTTTTCTCGCACTTCTTATCAAAGACATGCGTTTACATATGAACACAATTTATGCTAGTATATTTCTAATGTATTTGAGTTTGTTCATATGTGTAAGTGTGTTTATATAAATCGGAATAAAGTCAAGTATTTTGTGTGCCATAAAGCTGGATTTTTCATAATCGTATTATTTTCTTTATAGAATTGTAAAATGTAAGTAAGTGGGTTTAGGTTCCGTATGTAAAGTAGCATATTCTTCATATTCTCCATGTAGAAAAAACTTCCATATTTTTATTTATTTTTGTATGTAAATTTTTATAGGGTTCGTTTTCGAATAATAGTTTGAAAAAATGGGGAAAAATGTGTATTAAATTATAAAGATATAAGCCAGTTTTCAATTGGTTAATAAGAATAACATATTACCTATTAAAATTATGTTACAAACTTCTAAAATTTTTAAATCGTATACATATAATTTATGAATAACTTTTTTTTACTAAAATTATTCTAATTTATAATATAATGCTAAAAAGGGACTAAATTCAAATAAGGTATTGAAGATCTTTATTTTTTGTTAATATTTTTTATTATTTTTGTAAAAATTTCTTTCAGGTTCTATAACAACATTCAAATCTTGATTTAATATAGAAATTGAAAGGATTGCTTTTTATAATAATAGATGTAAATTTTCCATTTTATATTTATATCTACATATTGAAGAAACCAGTGCTCAAAACTAAAAACTTTTTTTTTTGATATTCTAAATCAAATTTAACTTAAATACTTACTATTTATAACATACAATTTTGAGTTTTTCAATAAAATTTACATGATATGTCTAAATTAAAGATTAAAATTTAAAGGATATATTAAAAATGCTTCAAATTCTTTGTTTTAATTTGAATACTAACATAAGAAGATTATAGTTTATATCATTTACTATAAGTTTAATAAGTTATCCTTACAACGCAACTTGAAGTCTCTATCACCTGCAAAGCCTGAGATAATCACTTAAAAATCGGTCTAAAATGCAAATTCTAAAAATCCCATCGGTGCCCATCTCCCCAAAAAAAAAAAATTTTAGTCAAATCGGAGCTAATATATGATAATAAGTTTTCTTTATAATATTTCAATGATGTTTCTAAATCAATAATAAAAAATGAAAACTCAAAATATATATATAAACTACATTTTTTTTTTTTTGAAATTCATGACTAATATTTATTCCCGAAATTCGGGTATTTTAAATTCAAAACAGCAGGTTACAAAAACCATTTTAGCCAAATTAGTGATAATGAAGTCAAAACCCGTTCGGTTTGTAAAAGGAAGATTGATATTAAAATTATTGAATAGGAATAATATTTCAAAATAACCAAAAATTTTGATCATACGTGAATTATTTTTTAGGATACTAACGAGTTATTGATTAGATATCACAAGCTTCGCCATATTAAAACTATAGTTCTTAAGATATGAAATGTACTGAAGTAATGTAATGTTACCTTCGCTTTCAAAGGATAAGACACTAAATCACAAAGCAAACAGACAAGAAACTCATCTACTATGAACACTTTTGCCTTTATATTATATCTTTGATTTGAAATAGTTGCAGTGTTCCATTTTAAAATAATGTTTGTGCATTTTATCTATTTGTTTATTTATTTTAATGATTCCGCAGAAAGGAATAATATTTAAAACAGATTAATCTGATGCAAAAAGAATCTTTAATGTGTTAATAAATTTAATGTGTTTCCCTGGTAAATATAATAAATGCTGAGTTCCTTAAAACAAGAAATAAAAAACTTTTGTTTAAAAATGGCTCATTTTTATATAATAAAATATCTAAAATATATATAACCTAAATAAATATATAAATAAAATACATAAAATATATTCTATCATGTATTACTAAAAGAAAGTCATGGCAATAGATTTCCTTTTATGTATTTTATCCTTCTAATATACATTATTTGTTATTTGAATATCTCTCACATAAGTTGCTTTTCTATTACTATATTTTTCTATTAAAAACTAGTCAATAAGCGCACAAAACTGAGTTTTTGAATACTATCTTAAGTCCATTAGAAAACAATACCTATTGCAGTGACGACTGCTCTAAGGTGCGGAGGTGTGCGGTGAACACCCTAATATAATTTGCAAAATGTTAAATAACATAGGTATATAAATTTATTAAGTATCTTTACATCAAGAATTATTATTATTTATTACATTTCCATATAAATATATATTTTTAAAGTTTTAGCAAAAACAATTAAATATAATTGTCTATGAAAACTCAATTAATTTGCTTCTGTTAGCCGCTATACTTGTTAGTTGTGCTCATATATTTGCAGCTCAAATCACAGAACATTTCTATTATATTTCGTCTCTCCCCTTTGTGTGCTAAGAAGTTGGCCGCACATTCATACGTTACATATGAACAAAATAATGTGCGTGTGCTCCCGTTCGTAATATCAGAAATAGAGATTTATATAGTGGGAATTGTATGAGAGTAATTTTCTGTTCTACTCGAATATCAACTGCACGCATACGAATCCAACATGATGATTTGCCAAAGTGGTTGCATGAGCGGCTGAAGTTTGCAGCTCATCTCACCATACATTTCTATCACATTTCGTCTCTCCCCTTTTAACAGCAGCACCCACGAATTTCTGTTCTTATTGTGCGGGGTACTTGTGCGCACATTGCAAGTGGTTTCGATTTTGTTTGATCACTGCACAAACATGTATGTTTCTAAGTACAAACTCTTTTGTTTGAAAAAATTTGGTTTGATGTTACGAGAATTATGTGAAAAGTTTTGTTTCTTCCATATTGATATAATATTAAACTTGTATATAAATTATTAATTTAATTTGTTTAATATGTTATTTTGTTAATGAATTGTTAATATAATATTGCGCGAATATATTGTTGCCTTATATAATATAGTTATTATTAATAAAAGATCTCATATATTTTAATATAAGTGGTACATGTAAAAACAACATTAAAGAAGGGCCGCACACCCTTCCAGATAGGGCACGCGTCGTCACTGACCTATTGAGAACTACTATCACTTCAGTTGCAAGCATTTTCGTGTGTTTCTAAGATATACAAACTAGAAGTTTGTATTTTTACGTGTAAAGTTGACTCAATACTTCAGAAATAATTCATAAAATACGTACGTATCTTATCTTAAACAATACAACTGGATATTGCAACGATAAAAGGTTACAAAGAATTTTATAAAGACTACACAATTTTGAAATGACATAACATATTCTTAAAAAATTAACTTTACACTATCAGCATTTATTGAACTATAGTAAGTTCCCTGAAAACATTTCCTCAAACCTTTAATATTATCTGTTAGAATTACAGTAGGGGTATTTACTTTGTCTTGCAAACTCATTGCAAGGTGCACTTAGTTAGAACCAATGAGCATTTGCTGTGTGAACTACTTATTGGTATATTAATCGTACAAGATAATACTTGATAATGAAATAATTTTTAATTAATTATTTAGAAAAAAAAGTGTACATTTTTTATCAGGATCAGTTTTTCACAAGTTTATTAATACTTTTATTTAGTTGGGTGACTGCAATGGCAGGCTATTGGATATCTTCCATGTACCTTAATTAGCGATTTTTGCAGTTTTGATGCCACATTCCTCGCAAGAACCCATAATACAAAATTTTATTTAATTTCGTAAATAATTATATTAACTAAAAGTAAAGAATTAAAACGTTTTAATTGCACTTCAAAAGTAAAAATCATTTTATACTATTATACTACTATTTTTTTCATTATTTCAATATTTTGTACAACCTCATTGCTAATTAAGCAAAAGAGGTGAAGGTTGTTTTAATTAAATGCTACACTGAAATGCTTAGTGGGTTAATGTTTTAGATTACTCTAAGCATAATTGTAAAACCTAAAATTAAAAAAATATGGAACACAACAATGTTACTAATTTGTTTTATTTATGCGAACGCCTAGTAAAGCAAAAATTTTCTATTATTTCAATGAAAAATAAACTATTAAATGGATGCGAATACTAAATTCACAACATAAATTTTTTAATCATTATTAAAATTTACGAAATGGGTAGCTTAATACATATCACAATTTTTAGAATTTTTTTATATAAATTGTAAAAAGTGGGTATTAAAGTTTTTATATTTTTTATAAATTTTACTAGTTTACCTATATTTATATTTCCCTCGCAAATATCAGTTTATTCAATAATCTATTTGAAGTATTTACTTGCATGTTTGAGAAGTTCATATTTCTTAAAATTTGATTTTTTAAAAAAAGCAATTTTTTTCAAATATATTGTCATATAATATAAAAGTTACCAAATATATACCAACATCAACTAAAATATTTTTCAAGATTCTACAGCTTTTTGCTTTATCATACTAAATTTATTTTTAAAATGATTTTGTATATATCAACCCTGTTAATCACGGTCATATTGCTGACGTGGCAGAAGCAAAGCAAAGAAAACAAATAAATAACATTCGGCACTTTCGTTTACAAAAACAAAGTTTACCGGGGGTTTTACGTAGTTAGCCGTTCGTGTAAAATCACGCCGAACAAGAGAACGCAAAACACTAGAAAAATTCTACCTTTAGCAAATATATGTACCTTTCTCAGAAAATTAAAATAAATCCTAATATTAATGCTCCTTTTAGATTTATTTTATTTTTAATGTCACATAACAAAGTATTTACTTATTTATTTAAAGCGTTACGAGCTGCTTCCACTGCATCTTCTTCGGCATGTAAATTAATCAAATCTTGTTTTTTCTTGATTATGCGCTCCTCACGACGCTTACGTGCCTCACGACCCTTAGCACGTTTAGCCTCAGCCTGATCGGTCAACATTTTAGAGTGAGCGGTTTGCTTCTTCTTCCTGAAAATATATTCCATCAGTACACGCTTGTTCTTGAAAGCATTTCCCTTGCACTTTAAATACAACTTGCGATGCAAGTGCTTATCGATTTTGTTGTTACTCCTATAACGTTGGAGTAAGCGGCGCAGAACACGTAAACGATCTATCCAGGCTTGCTTCGGCTTTGTACGCGCATTCTTTTTGCCTTTGCGTTTGCCAACACCACTGTGGCGACCCTTTTTGAGACTCAAAGTATTCTTTCTAATGCGATAACGGGACTTAGCATTAGTGGGCTGCTTAACAATTATTCCGTCTTTTACAAGCTTGCGTATGCCGTGACCTAAAACAAAATAAATTCATACAAAATCAAACATTACATTTAGAGATTTTTTTTATAAAAAAGGAATTTTACTTAAATTTACTAAGGAATTTTGCGTTTTAAAACAATCATGTTAGGTGAAACAATAAACTTACGGGAATTACGCGAACTAATGATTTGAGTCTCAAGCGGATCCAACCATATTCTCTTTTTTCCACATTTTAGCAACGAAGCTGCAAGACGTTTTTGAACCTTTAAACTGAAAAGAGATAAGAAAAATTTTTAATAATTATAATTGATTCCATAAATAATTTGGAATTAAGTTTGACAAAATATTTACCTCATCGAAAATTACGTCCGCTTGCCACAGGAAGTGTTTGGAAACTGAAAGCGACAGCAAGGTATGAATATAAACGTCTGTAACTTTTATGACACAATGTGTGCTACCATCTGGTGGTGATTTACAGCACTACAAGTGTAACTATACTAGAATGCATTCTAGTAAATACATATTACTCCTTGTTTTTATACATTTAATACACTCTTATTTAATATTGTAAACATTTATTTGATGAAATTTTAGTATAGTGGCTGTATCCAAAAAACTAAATTGATTGTTTTTCATTGACTTGGCAATATTGTTTTGAAAATTTTTGACTTTTACACTATGCAATTCGCAAACTTTTTCGAAATATGTTGCTATTTGCTAAATTTGCAAAAAATCCCAAGGAAAATCTTATTTAGTTTAGTATGAAATCAGAACAATTCGCACTCACACATAATATAAGATCATGTGTTTATTGAGTCCACGCTTAAAGTTATATTATTAGAGGTATTCACTCTCTCTCTTGTAAACTCATTGCAAGCTGCACGAAATGCAATAATGCTACTCTAAAATTGAAAGGGTGCGAGAACATCTCTGTTGTAGAATTGCAACATCGAAATGAAGTAGCTGTTGTTGCAGTACACTACATCCAGATGAGAAGCAACAGATGTCAAAAAACAGGTGTTTTTTCCTTTATTATTTCGTTACAAGCATATATACATGGGCTTGAGTATTGGAAGATTGCAAGCAATCGCACGAAACTCTGTGCGTGTATTTTGTTGTTGTTAATTGCAAGCTCGTGCAATATGTGCTTTTTGTGCACCTTGCAAGAGTTTGTTAGAGAGAGTGAATATCACTATTATTACTTATTATTATTATTTACAAAGATTTTAATGATTTTTATATTTTTGAAAAAGAGTTCCTATATTTAGTTTATTGTTTTTAAATCTAGAAATATGCAGTTCAACATAGTTCATATAAAAGCTAAAATTCATATGGAAAAATGGTAGGGGCGAATAGTATTTTCTTAAATCCTTGTACACCATTATATACCATAAACGACTGCTTAAGGTGTGGAGGTGTGCAGCGCAAAAACCTAACATAATTTACTAAATGTCAAATAAAATACAATAATTCTTTAAAATATTTTTACATCCAGAATTAATATAATTTATTGCATATACATATAAATATTTTTAAAGATTAAAGTTTTAGCGAAAACAATTGAATAGAACTGTCTATAAAAACTCAAACCATTTTGTTCTCTTAGCTTCTATAGGTGTTAGGTATGCTCATAAGTTTGCAGGTCAAATCCCGGAATATGTCTATTGTATTTCGTCTTTCCCATTTATGAAATTGCATTCACAAACTTTTGTCGTCAAGTGTGCGACAAAAACAAAACAAGTGTGTGAACAAAATAATGTGTGTGTGTTCTCGCATAAAATATGAGAAATAGAGATTTATATACACTGTGGGAAATATATGGTATGAGAGTAATTATTGTGTTCGATTGGAATATGAATTGCATGCATATGAATTAAACATGTTGATTTGGCGAACCGGTAAGGGGTGCGCTATATTTCTATTACATTTCATTTCTCCGCTTTTCGCAGTAGCACTTACGAATTTCTGCCGCTAGTTGGCGCAATAGTTGGGCGCACATTAATACGTTGCAAATGCGTTCGATTTTGTTCGATCACTGCATAAACATGTATGGTTCTGAGTACAAATTCCTTTGCTTGAAAAAAGTTGGTTGAAAATGACTTTTGTATAAAAGAGTGAAATTTGTTTATGTCGTTCCATTCAAACACATATGTTTGGTTAATTGCGCATTTCGCTTTGACGTATATTCTTACGGTACGTACCGTCTAACTGAGCTTTAAGGACTCTTAAGGAATTTTTGAAAAAGGTGTTGTTCAAAATTCAAACAATTTTGATTTTTCCTCAAAATCGCTGGTGTTCACAAAAATGTGTGTATATACGTGCTTAAAGGAATGAAAGCGAAAACATCGTGTAAATGTATGCATGCTTTTATTTTCTAGAATATTTATCGTTTTTTTTTGGCCTTTTTAAAATAATGTTCACTTGTTTGATGTGTAATAGATTGTCGCAAGCGGCGACAACGATTGTTTTCTGTCGATTTGTTAACTACAGCTGTTAAAATCAGCTGTTTTTTGATGATTTTGTAAGTTAGTGTGAAAACTTTTGTTTTGTTTTGAGAATTTTAAATAAATACTAACTTATGTCGAAGTTAATTGAAAAAAGCAAAATTGTTAGATTTTTAGTAAAAAAATAGTCTAAACAGGATAAAATGGTTTAATGGTAAGCAGCATATGGAAAATATAATTAAATGTTAAATAATTTTTCATTAAAACTTCACGTATTTATTTAAAATTCAAATTGAAATAATAGCGTAAAGTTTTAATATTAATCAAAAATAAATTGTAAATGCTGCCCATATAAAATGCTTAGTATAACCAAAGACGATAAAGAAAAGAAACTGAGAGTTGCACGAGAAATTGTGTATATAATCTTCTAGATAATTCAAATAATATTCAAAATTTTGAGTATTGAGGTGAAAATATCACGCAGTACAAAAACAAAAAGCCTAATACTACACAATAGTATGTGATGATTTTCTCCACCCGGTGTTGCTATTTTGCCCACCCAGCCCCCACTCACCACGATGCTTGCTAAAATAAGCGCACTTTTCGAGAAATTTTGTTGTATGTTTTGGTTTTTTTATGTTAAAAATCCCATAACATATTTGTTTGTGATATTAGACAAAGAGGGACAATGATTCAAAATTTCTTTTTAGTTTCATTTCTTTGTCTTCTTTGGTATAACTATATTATCGGAGTAAACTTTTTTCTTATGTATAGGAAAGATGGCAACATTGAAAAAGGAGTAAAAGTGGAATGTAAATGTTAGTCAAACCAAATGCTTGACTAGCATTACTCGACATGTATTTTGTTGTTGCTGCGTTGCACTTTTAATACGTTACTCGGTTATATTAAGCACGTTACTGGAACTCGTAAATAACCCTATTGTTTTATTGCCGAGAATTTTGTTGTATTTGTTTTGTTGTTGATATTCCTTATTCATTCCTTATGTATTTCTAATATCTGATTTCTGATATGGTAATTATTATTATTTGGTGTGACATGAGTGAAAAGCAATTTGAACAATAAAACAAATAATATAATACTAGTATTTAAGGAGTGAGAAACAAAGCACGCTTTAAACAAAAACTACTGCAATGGGTTTTGTAATTTTCGATGCCAGAAAAGCTTCCTATTAAAACGTTTGTGAGACATTGTAATTAAACCATTTTTAAAACTATTTTGAACTCAGATATAAATAACGAAAGGTATTTTATTACGGTCTTTGTTTGTGTTTTTATGTTTATCAAATTACAGCACACTGCATTAAATGAAAATCAGATATCAACGATACTAATATCAACTCGTTAATGGAAATATACATATGTAATTAATTACAACACGCACTATTTGCATTACTAAGTAAATGATATGAAAACGCAAATAGTTTCAGGTTTGTTAATTGCAAATTTCATTAAATATAATCATAATATTGATAAAATGCTTATTTATAATTATGTGATATTTATTAATACATTAGTACTTGTATATCAGAGCAATCAATTTATTTTAGAATGAAGCGATGTAGCACTGGATCTTACCTGGGCTGTTTTGTTAACATATATAGTACTTTACATTAAAAGAAAGCACATAATCTAAGTGTAATGAAATCAGTCCAATATTTTTTATTTACTATTTAATTTTAAGGCATTTATAACTAAAAAGGGTTGCGGATAGTTAGCGTTTATGAAAGGTCATAAAAATTATATCCTCTAGGTACATCCTCCTCTATAACTTTTTCGAACACAAAAAACTGTATCACCCCTAACTGAATTTGTTAGGAACAATATTTTAATTAAGAGGTATGCATATTATCAAAAAATAAAGCATGAAATTTAAAAAAGTTGTTTTATTTTATTAAGGTTATTATCGCTGATAAATACAAATATCTCTGACATTTTGAATTTCATTTAATACTTTCTGACTTCGTCTGTTCAGTGTTTTTGTTTTAAATTTTACAGAAACCTATTTAAAAATAGAATTAATTTTAAAAAAATAAAATTATAACTATTTTAAAAAATATATTTTCTTATTTACAGACGCACAAATTATATATTCCTAAGTGAAGCTGAAACATGGGCACCGGTCATTATTTTTGGGTGATTTTTTACTTTGCCAGTTTATGTAGTGCGTCACTGTAAGTACATAAACTTCTGCATGTAAAATAAGTCATTTGTATTAATTTTAAATAATTTTTTTTTAAATAATATAATAAATAAATTAAAATTAAAATCAGATTTGAAAAGCAATACATATTGAAATTTATAGAATTAGTTTTATAAAAACAGTAAGTATGATTAATGGTATACTTTAGAAGTATATATAAAATAAATAAATACTTCATTTAATGGCAAGTTAAGGTATTAATATTAGCCTCTCTTTAGTAAATATAAGTAAAAGTAAGATGAGAAATGTACATAAATATAGGAAGATAACAACATTTTTAATTATATATATTATGTGTTTGTTGCTTAATGAAAGTATAAGTCATTTGAATATATCAAAGGAGTCATCTGCAGAATATACAGTATTCACAGTATAATGTACTCTTCAGAACTTTAATAGTTTATAATATATGAAGATAGCACGATACATGTCTTACGTAGTTTTGAAAGTTTTATATATGAAAAATAAAAATTGGTAAAAAATAAATTAAAATTATTATTAAACACCAAAAAATACTACTTTATACTAGAAAGTATTATAGTATATCATGAGTATTTTCTCATTATAACATTTGTCATTGTGTAAAATGACTAATACTCAAAACGTTTACGTTTCGTATTGATTGTCGAAACATAATATTTAGTAGCATATGTTTTTGGAAATATTAAAAGACCTGCCATTATTATATATATTAATTTATTAATTACTATTCCTTTATAATCAGTAATCATTCTTACTAAGTGATCCAACCGTTTCATGTGATAAGACTTTATTATTCTTTTTACGTCAGCGTTCTTGCAATTTCGCACTGCCACCTATATGCTCTATGGGGTAATGGATTATTTGCAAGGTCTTGTGGGTTATAAATCGGTGTTTAAACTTTATATCAATAGCTAAAAATGGGTTAAATTAAGAGTTATTATGTTCTAATTGTTTGCCTGTATAATGTATTAGTTTTTTAAAAGGTAGATTGTGTAGCTTGGTTCGCTACTAATTTTTTTCTCAAGCGTGACATACCTTTCCGAAGTATTTAAACTCTAGTTCCAGCTACCAAAATGTGTTCACTATTTTGCTCAATGGATATCCCAAATATTTATTTTTAGAGATAGTAAGGTAAAAATTAATATAAAAAAATTTTATCAAAATTCAATTTATCTGATATAACATGTTAGTTACGAAAAGTACTAGAGAATTTGTTCATTTTGGTAGTCAATAATAATTAATATATATATACTATCAAAGAAGTGTTGTATTTTTTGATTAAATTATATATTAATTTAATGGTTTTTTTTAACTTTTATAGTTTTCTTTTTTAAGACAGTCGAAATTAAAATTTTAAAAATAATATAAATTAATTTTGTTTTTTAATATATTTCATATATATTTAAGTTAAAATACCAATATTTTATTCCGATATTTGAAAAGTGTTTTAACAAATATGTACAAATCTTAGTTTGTTTTAGCAATAGTAGTACAATAGTTTAATTTTTGTAGAAAAATAACTTTATATATTTCTTATATTAGTTATTTCATTTAAGCAAATATTTAATATTTTCCAGTAAATCAAATAATAAATAAATACAATTTTTTAATTTTTGTCGGACCATGCATTTTGGAATTATTTGCAGTATCCTGCAAAAAAGGCATATCTAAAATTAAACTCATACATAGTTATAATGTATGATATCTTATGGATATGCTTTTATCATTTATGATAAGTGCGGCTGTATAATGAAAAATATTATAATGAATAAGAAAAAAAAATTCTACTTAGGTTCTCGTCTATACATAATATAATAAAAAAATATTATTGGTTGAATTAAATTTTTTTCATACAAATTTTAAATTTAGAGCACAATATATAAAAAAAATTCTGACCTTATGTTATACGTTCGTACATATCATAATTTCAGAGCTAATAATGCCAAAATAAATTTCCGAGAAAAGGAGAAAAAAGTCTTAGATCAAATTTTAGGTGCAGGAAAATATGATGCACGTATACGTCCATCCGGAATTAATGGAACGGGTAAGAAGTACTTTTAACATTTTTTTATTAATGTTGAAATATTTTGCCTTCATTTAAAGTTTCCTTTTTAATTTCTTTATGTTCCATTTATATTTTAAGTATAAAGTATAAGATTTTATAACTGGTTCCTAAAAACTTTTAACAAAATTTTATATAAAAATTTGTTTTATAACATTTGTATAAGTTAAGTATATAAATTGTTTTTAATACAAAAAAAAAGGATATAATTAGTGTATGTAAAAAGCAAACATTTAACTAAACATATTGTGCACAAATTTTTAATAGGCACTTCCAAGCCACATAAATTATTACGGAAGGTGTTTCACAGATTTAGTAATAAAATATTTGCTCATCATTTAAAAAAATTCATATTAGGTTTTGAAATACATTCTAAAATTTTATATTTAAAACAATTTTAACCGTAGTTATCACTAATACTAGTCGAATATATTGGTTGTCATCTCAGAAAAAATTGTTTTATTGTCATATCTATACATTAAGTAAATAGTTAATTTACACTAATTCTTAATAAGTACTACTATTATTTAATTGTAATTAATTATTTTCACTATTAGTTATTAAAATATATCATTACTTATAATCATATATGTATTTTTAAAATTATTTTACTGTAATTGAAACATATATGAACATATATTGCAATCGCAAAAATATACAAAAATCTAACCATGTACATGACAGATGGTCCCGCCATAGTCAGAATCAATCTTTTCGTTCGAAGTATTATGACGATTAGTGACATAAAAATGGTAAGTTTTCAACCATAACAAAAACAAATAGCATCCATAAAATTGTCACAACATTAGCATAATGCAAAGTAATATCGAATATAAATTAAAAAATTAGCAAACATGGCCTACAAAATTCGTCTAAACAAACTCACATCCCCATTGAAATAAAAAGTTTGAATTGCAGCTAATTAAAGTTTTTATTAGTGACACAGTTAATTATTTTGATTAATATTGCGTTTATATTATTTTAATTGCAAGAAATAAAATAGTTCGCATTGGTATTAGTTAACTAATTTAAAATTCGTAATGAAAAAGTTATTTACAATTATAAAAAATGTTATTTCGTATACATACCTATTTAGTCATTAATGATATGTAATCTCAAATACAATGCTTTGAAAAAAAAATGCATACAAAAATTAAAGAACCATTAATTGAAATATTTTATAAAAAATTTTTTATTATTTCAAAATTGTTGTCTTAAAAATATTTGCTGCCCTTTATTGGTGGATATTAAGATAAAATTATATATTTCAACTATGCATGTAATGTCTTTGAAAAATGAAATTAACTAAAGATATATAAAAGAACTAGTAAACTGTAGTACTTATATATACATACATAACTCAGAGAGTACTATTACTATCCGTTTTGTATGATAAAAGTATATTTAAGGTACAAAAACAAAAAAAAAGAATAATATTTTGAATATTATATATTTTAAGACAAATATTCAAACCAAAGTCAATATAAAATAATTAAGATAATAATCAAGGTATTTTTTTAAATATTTATGTGTATATGAAGTTTCCTTCGATAATAGTTTTGTTTAATTTTCCACAATTTTCCACTTTCTACTAATATTAAGATCGATATATAACCTTTCCTCTTAAAATATATGCATTTCTCTTATTTAATGTTCCACTATCCGTAAATAGCTTTCTAAATAGCTTTCTAAAATACAGGACAAGAATGGAAAAAGGAGTAAGAATGGAAAATTTATATGAATAAAGAGTTTGCTATGATTGTTATTAATATTTTACATCATTATTATTATAATATTAGAAGATTTAACTACCTCTAGTTACAGTAACAGACTTTGTTGATTTTGTTGAATTCACTGTTCATGGCTTTGCAAATTTCTCATTTTAGAAGTATCTTAAGGAGTTGCCTTTGTCTGGAGACAATTAGACAGTGTCATGTTAAATGTCCAATCATTACTTCTGTGGTCTCATCCTATCAACATCAACAGAAGTCGAACTGGCACATACACTTATCTAACACTGATATGTTATAATGGACGTAGGCAGATTGCCACTATTCCTTCTTAAACTTAAACATATTTTTAGCTCTATTTTTTTGACATCAATATGGCAATGATTTGCTTCTAAATCCAATAAATCTGTGCATTTCCAACTATTTAAGAATATGACTATTTTCATATATGTTGTTGTAGTGTTGACCCAAAGAATAGTGTCATATGATATAAGATCATAGCTAATAAGAATTCAATATTCAATGTGAACTCAATGTTATCTAGTATTCAGCAAATCGACAAATGAACGAGAAAGTTTATTTAGTAATTGTTATACTTATCTCAAATAGAAATTAGCTACACAATTATCGTACCAAGTCTATATAATTGTCAGTTGCTTAATGATAGATTAGCTATTCGTAAAAATTGCTCTTCATTATTTTATTACACTTAACTTTCTTCAGTTGTCTCGTAATACCTTTAGCGTCAGATTGAATAGCAATACAATATTTCAGAAATCTAAAGTTTGTCCCGTTAAGTTAGCTTCCGAAAATATATAATCACTTTAAACAAACTTTTTGCTATATAGCAGTACAGTAGTTGGCTTTATCTAGTCATTCGATATGTAAGTGAGGTCTAAAATAATTGCTGAATGGCTCTGATTTGGTTTTGTTCTTTATTTGCTAATATCAATTTCATAATATTGATCTCACATATGGATACAATAAGTATGCAATACATTTAACTGGTAAATTTTACAAAATTACTGATTGAGAAAATAAAACAGAATCACTATGCACTTTGAAGGCGATTTCGAAAATCGACTTTAACATTTGTTTCAAGAATTCAAAAAAACATTGGCATAAGAGTATTGTATCGATAGAGAAACACTTTGAAAGTAATGAAAAAGATTAAAAATTCTAAATGAAAATTCATATCTTAATAAAAAATTATACTTTATTATGTGATCACAGTGTTTTGAAAAAAGCTATTAATTATGTATAATGTATTTTATTTTATTCCAATGATTTGTTTAGAATAGAATGGAAAGTATAGATTATATACTTCGGCATAAGCACTCAACTCCTAGTTCAGATTGCTAACCTACCATTCCGATCCTAGTTTTCAATCCTTTCTATTTCTCGACATAGTCTACATAATCGCTCGAAATCGTGCAATATCTGTTATTTTCAATTCTGTTTTATTAAGAGGAAGAAAAGTTGTAATTTTGTCTATTCGAGTAAAAAGAATAAGTTCTAAGTTTAACAAGATTTACGATAATATTATATTCTTCACTTACATTATGTATTAATAATGATAATAAAGTGTGCTTTCGTGTTTGCTAGTTGGACCAATTAATCAGTTCTCTTTTCTGTCAATTGACTCTATTATTCTCAATGATGAAAAGGTATGGATTGAAATTCACACTACGCGAATTAGTATTTATTAATTTCTTAACCTTCTGTAGTTGGTCCTGTCTATAAAAGTTTGTTGTTTTCAAACTCTCCTACAGTCTTATAATTCTGTTAGTGTTTGGAGTGGAACAAGGACTAAGTGGAGTGGACTACAAGGATTTGGCCAAACTTTCAAATGCTGAGATAGGAATACAGCAGAGATGGGCTTTGTATCTATAAATTGTTATACACTATAAATAATACAATAAATATATTATATATTAATATATTTTATATTAATTTGTCTATAAATAGCATTAGTTTGGTTATAAAATAACTACAACAAAATATACATTACGAAATAATAAATTCCGTCTTTTATGATAATCGAAAAATATAGCCTGACTTATTTATTGTTAAAATCAATGCTAGTTTGAATATGCTTGAGTTTCTTAAGCAGTTGTCAGTACGTACCATATAAAACGATGAATGTGTGATAAGATATTTATAGTTAATCGACCAATTTATAAGTATTTGAAAGAATTACCAGTGTTTTGAATATATTTTATATTTTCAATACACATATTTTTAGATTTTTCTTTAAATTAAAAGGACATTACATGCATTCGTAAAATTTATTTTTGCCAAAAATGTTTAAATTAATTTAAATTCAATATGACAAAAATTTGAAGCAATTAATAAAATTGGGAAAATATTTAATTTCAATACTACAGCAAATTAAATTTATTAAAGTAATGCTATTATATTTATACTCAACATTTTTATATTTCAAAAATGTTAGTTGCTGAATTTTATTTCATTTTTCTATAAATTAAAAAATTCGATGAACAAATTTTTTGTGCTCCCAATTTACTTAAAAACTATTTTGTAAAAATATGTAAATTAAGTTTTTTGTTTTAAATTTACAATGTTTTCGTTGCTATTTAAGTAGTTATGATTTTTGTTTTAAAATTTTAAGTTTTTACGGCTTTAGTTTTTATTTCACGTTGTGTTTTTGTTAAATAATTTTTATATTGAATTTATTCTTCACTAAATGAAAAACTTAATGTGAAAATAATAACGATAATGTATGGCGTTAAAAACGAAAGCATTTGCATAAAAAATATATTCGTAGAGGACTTAACCCTTCCATTTCAGTACAAATTGAATCAGTTTTATAAATAAACTATAACTACATTTCATGCAATTCAAACATTAAATATAACTTTTTTTATACGATATATATATATTTACTTTTTATACATGAATATAATGCATGTAATAAAAATCTTTTCTCTATCAAAGCCATTTTATAAACTGAAAAGCAAAATAAAATTTTATATTATCACGCAGTCCCACACAATTTTCATAAACAATTTTATTAATAATTGCATTTAAATCCTTTTAGTATACTTAAGCCTTTAAATATCTATTCAATTCAGTTGTATTTTTAAAACGAAGGGTTGTTGTGTACTATAAATGATTTATTTATATAAATAATTTTTTTTTTGTTTTTCTAAAAATTTGTTTTAAATTTACAAATTTATTTTTAAGAACTTCTCATGTCATTCAGTAACATAATATTAAGATTATTATAAT